CTTGACAACTTTTCTTTCCACCGTAAAGCAATCTGTGGAGGGTGTGTGTGTGTCTGTGTTCATCTGTGTGTGTGTGTGTCTGTGTGTGTTGTGACAACAAAGGGCCCTTTTTTACTTATCCCTCCGTATTGTTGAATATGTTTGTCAGAATATTTATATTTTTTTTGATATGCTGCCATTACATGAACACCCACCAAATTTAGCAAGCCAATAATATACTGCTGACGTATAATGTGTAGACATAAATGTACTTGTTTACACTGGAAAGTAAATATATGATAATTGTATAATTGGTTGCTCCGGCTCTTTCTGCATGTGTTACCTGAAAGAATCCTATTTGAAACACTCGGACTTTATTATATTGTATTTCACATTTTTATTACTCATAAACTGTCTCATTATTGTGTTTAGTGGAGGTACTTGCAGAGCCCCCTAAGGAGGGTGGTGAGGGTCAAGAAGACTCTCTGTCCTGTTAGATCCGTGAAGTTCTTTGTCCAGTGCACTGCAGCTTTCAGAAGGTGCGCTGCTTGTGTCTCATCAGAAATGTATTTATCAAACTACAGTAAGTGCAGCCAATCTAGCTGCCAGGCTTCATTGCACCAGAAAGAGGGAACATTGCTTAAATGTTTTGTTCTTCAGTTTATTTCAGGACCTTTAAGATTCTTTAAGAGGAAAGGAGATATGTAGAGAAATGAACTGTACTAGGGATGAGTGTCACAGCCTTCACTGCTGCCGAGCCTGCAGTCTCTCTTGCTGCGTTTAAATGGAACTCACGACCCGTGTTTACAACATGGGAAGTCGTGCAAACAAAGCCATGAATTCAGAATTCCATAGAATTTCCACTATGATGTCTCAGGGGCGTTCATACAGTTTTGTTTTGTATTTGTGAGTGTGACTGTGAGTGGAGACAGGTGTGCTGGAGCCAGAGCGGAGTCCCACCAGCTGCCTCCCATCCTTTAATCAAGCCTCCTACAAAGACTCAGCTTTGCCACATCCACCTTGCCAGATTGTACCTCCTCAGTCAGAGGCCGTTTACACGTAGACGGTGATTTTGATAAACGGAGACATCTTCCTTCGTTTGTGCCCTTCGTTTACACGCAAACGGAGATTTCTCCTCTGAAAACGAGTCTTTCTAAAAACTCCGGCCAGAGTGGAGATTTTGGAAAACTCCGGTTGCGCGTTTGCATGTAAACTGAGATAAATGCAGATAAACGGAGTTATAGGCAGCCCACGTCACAGTATGCGCCGGAACTTGCGCCTGTGTAAAAAGTGCGACCTATGTTGCTATGGTGACAATGGATACATGGAAGGCTTGAGCTTCTCGTTACACTGCCACCTACAGGTTTGGCATGCTCTTGTGTATATATACACGGGTAAGTGTAAACGAAGATCTTTTTGAAAACGGAGACGGTGAAATGTCCGTTTATGAAAATAGCCGGCAACGTGTAAACAGCCTCTTAGTCACTGTTTCCAGGCTTTCTAGTGAAAGTTTGCTCCTTACTTGTGTTCACTCATTAATTCTGGTTCTCTAAATGCAGTCCCATCTGCTCAGCTACAGCCCCTTTGTCTCATCAGCCCTGCTCGCCTGTCTGGGACCTCTGCTCACCCCAGGTACTCCTCAGATTGTGCCCTGGACCTGCTCAGGTCTGCCTCCCACTCCTTGGACTCTCTGCTAGACACAATAAGCCAGTCATCCCTCCTGCCCAGCTCTGCTCATGCTCACAAGCCACCCTGTTACCCTGCAATAAATTCTTATTTATTCTAACTCCTTAGCCTTGCCCCCTTGTGTCTTGCCTAAACAATCAGAACTGTGGGTGTTCATCACATTATCACTTTCTAGGATGAATATTTTAAGCCGTTTGGCATTTGTATAAAAAAGTAAAACTGGATCATATTTCTGCAGACACGGGATGGATGAATATTACCTGCTTAAACAGGAACATTTTGTGCTGTTTTCAGCGTAGTGCTCAGAGAAAATATGGACAGAGAGATACCGATATGTATAATTAGGGCCTGCCAACGATCCCTGGCACTGAAATTGCAAGGAACATATTGTTGTTTAGAGATTATTGTTTTTCTACCGCCCCATCACATTTTTGAGGGGCTTCGCATGCTTGAAAACCCACAACAATTGGCACATTAATCGGAACAGGCAAAAATTATAAAGTTCTTCAGTGGCTGGGCTTCAGCATAGCCAGTGGGCTCTATAGCACCCCTGGTTTGGGGTTAAGTTTCTTAGATGTTCACAAATTTCAATTTAGCGCATTAATTTTCATTTTACATACACATATTTGCGGGCTTTAGGATGCATAAAAGTCACGTTGCACCCGTGTTTAAAGTTGTAACTATTTGGTAGTGTAACTGGGTTTGGGTGGGGCACATCGGCTATAAAGTGCTCCCTAACTACGTTCAGCGTTGCTATACAAGAAAACTTGCTGCACACATTGAGCCTTGTCAAAATACGGCGATTTAGTGGACTCCATAGCGCCTCCTAATGTGCGGAAGGCCTTAGTTGGAACAATGTGCTTGATATTCATGAAATTTGGAGGGTACATTGTCCTCATAAGTTTGGACATATTTCTCATCGGGTTTCATTAGCTCCACCCACCTGAAAGTCAGCCATTTTGAATTTTGTGTTTTTCATTTATTTTACACAAATTCTGTCAAACCACCGAGAGGGTTTTTTAAGAAATTTGGATGATATAACTCTCCAACTAATGTGACGCTTAATTGTGGAGGTACTGTAGATAGCTTTAAAGATGATGCCATAGGTCATATAGCAACACACCATTTTAGGCACTTTACAGGTATGGAACTTCACAAAACTCCAGGATTCAACAGATCCTATCTCAAAGATAGGCAGTAGAATCTAAAGATCTTCACGATGACAAATTGCGACGCTATTGTGTTTTCATAGCATGGCGCACCAGTGGCCACTGCTGAATTTCAACATGACACAGGAAGCTTTTGTAAGTTAACTTTACATGGTCCACTCTGCCCCAAATTTCACATGCTATATAAGAGTCCAGGCCCAAAGACATCTACATGTCCATATTGACACAGGGTCATAGCACCACCCACTGAAAACAGGAAGTAAGCCTTATGTGAGAGAGATCATCAGATTAAATGAAATGTACATTGTGTGGTCGACACATGATATACAGCAACATGACATATGATCAGTGTGGGACACAGGGAGTGGTACACAATTTGCAATATGAAATTTCCAGTACCACGCACACCAAGCAGAAGATGCCATTTAATTCCTGCACGCAGTGTCTGACTTTCATGAAAATGCACAGCAGCAACAAGAGTCCTTCTATTACCCCAAGCAGTGCCTAATTGCCTGTTCATTGCTACCTGCCACTTTAATTGTTCCTGATTTTGTCCCTTACTATAAGGTGACCCAGTTACTGCACAAACCTGGTAAAAAAGAATCTATCAGGCTAAAAACAACGTGTAACAAAACCAAAAAGTCAAAGTCTACCATTACCAACATCATGCAAGTGGTTCAGTGAGCTGAGAGCAACCATGTCATCAATAGCTTTTACTCTATATCCATCAATGATTCAAATGAGCTCCATGTTAGTGTGAATGAAATAATTTCTAATAAAATATTTACTGAAAAAAGAAGTGTAATTTAAACCTTAGTTTTAAAAACTAGAAAAGCAAGAAGAGAATTGCGTAAAAGCTCACAATGAATACAGTACCCACTGGTAAATTGAGTTTAAAGTCTGAGTAGATGTTAGTGTTTTTAAATCCTTTAGAACGGTCTACAGTTTATAAAACAAAGCGGAACTAGCAGGTTAAAGCTTAAACACATTATCTGATTAACAAAAGGGAGTCAGGGGACACTTAGTGAAGATTTCTGAAAGCAGGTGTAAGTTGAATGAATTGACAGCTGCACACAAACACAAAATGCACACCCACTCCAGTTTCCCTCCGTTTTTAGTTGTCATTATTCTTAATAGGTGCAACTGAGACTAATTAGTGTGACGTTTATACAGTAAAAGGTTTGTTTGTTAAAGTTGAGGTCATTAACCAAAACTCTCTGGTGATGGCAACTGGGCTCATTACAACTAATATGTTGTGGCTCATGACTGTGTGTTTAATGATAATACATCCTTTGGGAACAGGACATTAAATGTGTTTGTTACTGTTTACACACTTTGCACAAACATGGTGAAAACAAATTCAACAAATTAACGAGTGTAGATGATCCTCAGCTCACAATTATTAAACTCTGTCTGCTGTCTGCTCAGAGGTCATGGAGGTCATTGTGTGTATAGAAGTATAATGCTTACTTGGCTCTAAATTATGCAGCGCTTAACATAAACAAGTTTACTAGACTATGGTTTTCTGACCACTCACGAGTGCCTCAACAAAACAAAAAAAATAAAATAATAATCAGCCTCTTACCTCTGACACTGACACAATAAAGGTACAAATAGGCGATAATTCATTATTACTGTTTATGGACATTCAGTTTAATTGTACAACCGCTGGCTTGTTTTATACATGTATGTGATTTTCCCAACATTTGAATTATCATGACATAGAGAATATTGATATTTGAAAGACATTCTTACCATAATTTTGATAGTAATACAGTAAAACCTGTGTTACCCAACCTACATTCTTAATTAAGAGAGGTTTAGTTTGTCTTGATCAAAGATTATTTATTAAGCAACACGTTTTATCCATGACCTATCACCTTTTCTTTTCATTCTTCTTTATTTTATTTTACTAAGCTTTCATTCATATTTAAATCATCAGTCGAATAATAACTGAATGCTTGTTTTGGATGTTGGATAAGTTAAATCAAAAATAAATACCCTGTATGTACTCCTACTCTCCAAGGATCAAATTAACATAATTGATCAGGTATTGCACTATGACTTTGTAGACTTAATTGAGAGTTGCCTCCTGATTGATCCCTGGGGATCAGTCAGAGTAGTATATACGGACAGAGTGTCCGACATGCAGCCATCTGCGTGCAGCTTTTAGAGTCAGCATCATGTATCAGTGCTAAACAAGTCTTCTCAAAAATCAGGTGAGCATTCATTGACTTGTAGAACATTAATTCATGAGTCAACTCACTGAGAATGTACTTTACAAATGCTGTTTGGTTCAATTGTGTTTTAACAAAATGGTATAACAGTTGTGCCTTTAATAATATACAATAATATAATAATATAATATACTTTAATGTATAATGTGATGTGATTTCCCTGTTCTTTAGACTGGAGAGCTTTTAAGCAGAGGCTGACCTCCAACACACAGCTTGTGGAGTTCAGCTATGTCTTCTCTCAGGACTGTTTTAAATGACTCTGTCATCATTCATCCTCCAGGCTTCTATATCATTGCATTTCAGACATTTCCCTTCATCAGTGTCTATTTCATCTTTCTGGCATTTGTCTATGTGGTTACAGTGCTGTTCAACTGTTTGGTGATCTGTGTAATTGTCTTTAATCATTGTTTACACACTCCAAAGTTTCTGGCTGTTGTCAATCTTGCAGTAATTGATATAGTCCTTAACACATGCCTTATTCCCAACATGATAAAAACATTTCTTGTCAAGGACAACTTCATTCCATTCAACTTGTGTTTGGTACAAATGTTTGTCTACTATGCTTTTGGGACTTTGGAGTCATACGCACTTGCTATACTTGCCTATGACAGATTGATTGCAATATGTTTCCCTCTGCGTCACAACTCCATCAACACACTGTGGAGCATGTCTTGTATTGTTGGCCTGTCTTGGGCTTTTGCTCTGGGAATCATTGCATTTGCCGTGGCTATAATGACTCGACTGTCTTTTTGCCAATCCCTCAAAGTGTCCAGCTATTTCTGTGACTATGCACCTGTGTTTAGACTCGCATGTAATGATAACACAATGCAGTGGTCTGTCGCCAATTTTCTTACTTTCTTGCTCCTTGTAGGACCCTTTACTTTTATTCTTCTGTCATATATGAGCATCCTGGTGACTGTATTCAGGATGAAATCTTTAGACAGTTGTGTGAAAGCTTTGGCTACTTGTGTTGAGCATATCATCCTTGTTGCTGTATTTTACATTCCTCTCATTACCATTTTTACTATAGGGTTTAATCTCCGTTTAATTGACCCAGACCAGCGTGTGCTGAGCCTGTCGCTGGCCTCTTGTATCCCACCCTGCGTCAATCCTATTGTATATTCTCTGAAAACTAAAGAGATCAAAATCAGAGTCCTGGCGCTGGTAAGGAAAACTAAAATTGGTACAGACCAACAAAAGAACAAACCTTGGAGGGTTAATAAAAGATCGCATAAGTTCAGGTAGTGGGTCAAAGGGCTACCTAGGCTCTTTTTGTCCAGATTGCTTCATTACAACAGGTTTAATATGGGCTTTAAGATGATGTGTTTTGACACTGCACAGGTGTTGTGTCGAAGTCGGTTTCCCCTTACTTCACCTGACCTCAACCCAATGCATTTTTGCATGTGAGGTTTGATTATGCCTGCAAGATTGTGTTCATATATATATATATATATATATGTATATGTTTTCAGATAACTTGTCTACCTCCTGATGTTGCTTGTGATGACAAACTTAACTACATTTACAAATTCCAAATGCTTGAACTCCTCTACAATGTTATACTTGATGAGATGTTCCACTGATTAAAACTACTGAATTATTACGTTAGCAGGGCAGCTATGAGTCAGATCAGTGCATCATGGGGGATGCTCTCACAGCAGCTGATGTCATCGTATGTCTCACTGATTAATTTGGCACCTGTGATTCCATGTATCCTGCTATCTGATATCATGTGGTGTCACCATGCATCCCCCTCTCCTAAAAAGTGTACCTTTTTTTCTCTTCACCACAGGGAAATTATTATACCTGTTTATGTTTAACCTAAAAGCACTTAAGTTGTGTAAAGATTTAAGTAGACTAAAAACATCATCATATGTGTCATAAAATGCTCAAAATGTTTGGAATAAAAACAAATGAGACTACAGCTACAACTGTCTCTCTACTTTTTTGCTTTGGAAGAGTTTCTGCATTTGTGAACCATCAATTGTCTGTCTGAAAATGAATTCTTATTTCAATGGCTTGGTTTGCTCTATTAAGATCTCTATTACGATGATGCTTGTCTAAATTAGGAATAAAAATAGTGAGGGATACTACAGTCACTTTTTCTTTAAGCTTCATGAATTTAGCACACTGGTCTTCATATTTGATAAGAGATAGCCTAAAGATGCAATGTTTTTTGTTTGTTCAGGTTTTTTTAGTTTCTAAATGTCAAACATTGTAAAATAGACTATGAAATAATAATACTATAATAATAGCAGGCTATAAGCATATAGTATATTCTACAGGCTACATGAAATACAGGCACTGTAGACAGGTATGCAATGTAGAACATCATACTGTACAACACATTAAGTCAGGGGTGTCAAACTTATTTTAGTTCATGGGCCACATACAGCCCAGTTTGATCTCTAGTGGGCCAGACCAGTAAAACCATTGCATTAAACCTGTAAATAACAAAACCTCCAAATGTTTCCATTTCCTTTAGTGTAAATAAGTCCAAGTACATTCTGAAGACAATCATTCATTGACAAAACAGATGATGAGCAAAGTGCAATTTCAACAATCTATCTGTTTTTTCGCGTTCAGTCAGTTTCCTTCTCACTGTCATTACATGTGCAATTTTCCATACGTCTACTTCTGTGCAGTAATACTAACATCACCACACCAAACTAAGGGGGCAGCTATTAGTTTTAAGAAACTATTTTGCACAGTGTTTAATATCTCTAAATATGACCACAATAAGTATTGATTGTATTTCAGAGAGCTGTATTCTGGTCCTGGTTGAAACGCCTCTGAAGTAGCACTTAGTGTTTACCTTGCTATTAAAACGTTGAACCTCTTAGTCTATACAGGTGCAACAATGTAGGGTACATGCAGAGTCATCCAGTGGACCAGACTGAACCCTGAGCCCACGGGTCGTATGTTTGACAAACCCGTATAAAGCTGTCAATATTAACATAGACGATGGAATACAAAATAGTGATGTGGGCTGCCCTCTAGTGGCGTTAATGTGTAGCATTAAGTGTGACCACTCTAATGCTCTACACAACATTTACACCATTAAAAATCGCACTATGAGAAATTAACGATATGTTCATTCATATTTTCATTGATGTGGAGCTTAAGTTTATTACGTCATGTCTTAATTGTCAGCAATGACTGTCGGTTGTGTTCTCGCTCTGCAGCGGAACTGATGTAGGCGTCGACGGAACTATTTGACGGTTACACTTTCGTCCTGTCTTCAAATGTGTCCCCCACGGATCACACCGTTGACTGTGTGGTTGGTTATGAGAAGTCCGACGTTATGAAGGTTATGTAAACTTAATGTCACTGTTTCTACGGACAGATACACCGAAAAAGAATAAACAGGTAAGAGCAAGGCAGCGCTGTGTCAACATTTGTGTTAGCTAGCTCCGCTCTCAGTAATGTTAGCTAACCTGTTACACATTAGGGAACGTTAAGAGGTGTGTGCTGTTGTTAGTCTGATACCGACGAGTAGTTTCGTTGCTGGAACTCGGATAAATATTGTTATATTTACTGCACTTAAATAAAAGCAGCATTACAAGCATTTAAAAATAGCCCATTACAAGTTCTGGTTTTAAAACGCACTTGAAAGTGAAAGTACATTAGTGCTGTTAGTAGAGTTTACTCAAACTATCAAAGCTCTCACTCTGCAAAATGCCACATTCATAGTGCTGTATGTCAGGCTGTCAGTGATGCATTAACATGTGAGCACTTACTTGTAGCAGCTAGTCGAGATGGAGCTCATTTTAACTGCTCACATCGTTCTTTATAGGACCGTCATATTATTTGAACGCAGCATCTGTATCTGCAAAGGGACTGTCAGTCTTGTGGTGGACTGAAAGTGTAGGGTCGCTTAAAGTACTTAAGTAAAGTACGAGTAACATAAAACTGCATGTACATATACAGTATGGTACAATACTTGAGCAAATTTACCTACATTTTACCAATTTTGTTGCATAAAAATATGTTACACTGCGCAAATGTAGTAATCGGTGATAAAAACAACAATGTCTTACAAAAGCATGACCTGTAGTATAGATACAAAATGCCTAATGAGACGGGACATTTATTACTCATACCATCGACCATAAAGACTCATAAAAGAGGAGAAAATATGATTAATACTGAAATTAGACATTTCTTTGTCGATAAAAAGGAGCTGTGCCTTTTACAGATAAAAAAACAACGCCTGGCCAGCTCCCTCAGTTTAAAAGTCCACTGTATAAGCAGGCAGTCCAAATTTAAAAATGCATCCGAGGCACTCTGACTGTTAAAAATCCTTTAATATTTAATTTTAATTTATTAATACATGGACAACCAATGTGTTTCGACTAGAGAGTCTTCATCAGGGTGTAAAAAGCACTGGAAACTGGTGTGCAATTTAAGAGCATGTGCATAACACAAACTTTACCCCATCCTTAAAGAGTACCTGATTTTTTTTTAATTTTTTTTTTTTTTACAACTAACTACACAGAGCCTTAACCTAGTGCAGCACTCCCTATTTTTTTCTTCATTATCAGTGACTTGGAGCTGTGCCTTTATTAAGCATGTCAGTAAATTCTTACTTAAAAAAAAAGTTAAATCACTACAGATTTTACACCTGAAGATTTAGAGATAATTTTCTGAACAGCAAAGGTATCCTGAAGGAACAGCTGGGATGTCCTGTGATTGTTCCTAAAACTGTACTGTCACCTGTTTATTGATAGCATCATTTGTCATCCTCAGCACACCCACAGAATCACCTAAGTGCATTGAAACAGAATGGCGTCCCCTTCACCCCATGACCGCAGCCGTAAAGACAACGATGAGGATGACCCTGTTGAACAGATGATATCCCGCACCGGCTGTGCCGAGCTACACTACGCTGTGCAGGAGTGCATGGCTGAACACCAGGACTGGCGCGTGTGCCAGAGCCAGGTCCAGACTTTCAAAGACTGCATGATGAATTTCCAAATCGCCCGGAAAGAACAGCTGATGAAGCAGCAGCAGCAGACCTCCACTGAGTCTGCGCCCAGCTGAACTCACAACACCTCACACCCTCATACACATCGGCCTGGATGTGTTGAAGACATGCTTGAGGTGAAAAGACTGTCCCTAATTTAATTCTTGTTAATGAAAATAAAGTATGAGCAACTACAAAAAAATCCTGACTTGGACTTTCAAATGTGTGCAGCAGAAAGACCAACTGATAAATGTGATTAATCAGCCAACAGAAGCTTATCGCTGACTAGAGACAGTGTAGTCTGGGGCTGTTTAGTGGCTGTTTTGGTAAGGAACTGGAACCAGGGCGAGAGAGACAGGATCCGGAATTTGATGGATGCGCCTTTCCGTCAAAAGCACCAAGCTAATAAAAATGCGGTGAAACTTTTTAATTTAAATAATATAATTTACAAGAAAAGCCCCAAGCCATTAAGTTAACCTTTTTCTTTTATTGTAAATCGATGGTGTGCCAGAATTTAAAGTTTTACTTTGGTGCATTTGGTGAATTCCGGATCCGCTTTCTAGACCGGAACCAGAATCCAGACAAAATTCAGAATGAATGGAAACCAGGCTCTTCACATACGGTGAAGAGCCTGGAGACGCGAGGCTAGAAACAGTGTCTTTATTATACAGTTTGTCCACCAGAGAGCACTGGGGCGTTAATTTTTCAATTGTTAAATGTCCCACTCGGTACATATCTTTGTCACAACTGTATTGTTTAAAAAACAAATTTAAGGGATCCTGAAGGGACAAAAGTGTTTGTTTATTTATGAATGAAAAAAAATATTGCCTTTATAACAAATAAACTTCTTTTGTTAAACTAAAATTCCTTTTTTCCCTTTTTTTTAAAAAAATATGTATTTACACACTGTTGTGTTATGGGGACTTAATTGTGTCCATGAAAAATATTTAATCAACAAATCAGATTTTACACGACAAACAAAAGCAGACAGCAGATCTCAAAGGAATCTTTGGTGATTTTAGGATTTAACGGGGACAGTTTTACCATGAACAACATAAGCTTGTGACTCCAAAGAGCAGTAAGTATTTTCATTTCATCAAACATTTTATTTGTGACATTTCAAGGCTCCTCAGAGCCCAGAGGACGTCACATCAACATTGGTGACCGAAGTTAGAACTGTGAATGGAAGTCAGTTATTCAAACACTTATAAAAAGCCTACAAACTTTGGGATAACTAAAAGGATGTGTAGTCGGTGTGATAAATGAGGATGTTGAACTTAGACTTGTCACTTTATAACACAAAAAGTGGACAAAGGACAGTTAGAGTTGGAGTCAGACTGGCCCTTCTTTTATAGCCCATCATAGTTTAATAAGTTTGCTCTGAATGACAGCTCAAGTTTTAATCATTAAAAGTGTTAATAGGTAATCAGGAGATTAATTAGTCTCAAGTTGAAACAGTAAAATATTTGCTTGTGACCGCAAAGGTCATTTAATGATAATTGCATCCTCCGGGAACATTATGCAACAAACAAGTCATATGTGTTTGTTTATTCACTTTGTACAAACACAGTTCATTAAATGGTTGTGTCACCAAAGTAAATTTTTTAATAGATCTTTTTTCAATTCATAAATCATAATTATTTCCATACAAATCGTTCTTATAATGTCAAAACAGCCAATTCATGTACAGTTTCAACAGTAAGTCAGTGACATATTTATTCACTTATGACTCTATACAAATATCTGCTGCCACTAAACCATCCTCAAACCCATCAGTGATTACACTGTGGATGGTACAGTTGTTACATCCTGTCTGCTGGCAGCAGAGGTCATTGTGATCAGGGTGTTACAATAGTGCTATTTGACTTGACTCTGATTGATGCCGCAGTTTGTACGAAGAGTTATGATCAAATTGTTGTATGTGTAAAATCAAAGTATTAGTGCAGTGCAGTGTTACTGCAACTAGAGTTGCTCTGATACTGATATCAGTACCGCAAATGCCTTCGATACTGCCTAAAATGCTGGATCAGGTATCGTCGAGTACACGAGTCTGTGCACCGATCTGGTACCATGTAACTACTCTAGAGTAGTTACACACCTGGATAAAACAGCAGTTTCTTTCCAATTTTTCCTCTTTGCTGCTCTAAAACAGAAGCCTACACAGCAAGTTGCACAATGCGTCCTCGAGGAACTACTGTTTAAGAGCGGCCATGAATAACTGATTTTCTGGTAAACTGTGTAACGTTATTTGGCAATATTTTACACTGGAAAGTCCCACCAGTAAAAATTCAATACAGTATACAAAGCTTTAGTTTTGAGAGGGGGCACTAGTGTTGATTCCCTCTAAATTGCAGCTGCATTTAAAGTTTCTGTTAAAGGAATTGTTATTTAGTCCTATGACTTTAATTACATCATTAAGTAAGCTTCAGTGTATACATGAGTTAAAAACATAGTGTAATGAGATCCTCACACTCACTAAATCATCATTAAAAACAATAATGAGATGTTTGTTTCTAACACAAGAGAATCCCTGCTCTTTATGGATCTAATTAATGTGGTTAACAGGGCGTTATTATATGATGCCGTCGATAACCGCTGGAAGCTTCATCTCTAGAGATGGATGAGGAAAGTATATCTTCTAATGTACACAGGTCAGACATGCAATCGCTTTACTGCTGTTGGACACAGAGCTGCTGAGAAACACTTAAGAGATAGAGTAAGCTGCATTCTATGGTTTCTTTAAGCACATGTGCATGTTTGAATACTGCTATGTCTAAATGTGCTCATCAGACTTTTAATTTAATGCCTGTTTGTATGTACAAGTTAATATGATTTCCCTCTTTGTCAGACTGGAGAGCTTTTAAGCAGAGGCTGACCTCCAACACACAGCTTGTGGAGTTCAGCTATGTCTTTTCTCAGGACTGTTTTAAATGACTCTGTCATCATTCATCCTCCAGGCTTCTATATCATCGGATTTCAGACATTTCCCTTCATCAGTGTCTATTTCATCTTTCTGGCATTTGTCTATGTGGTTACAGTGCTGTTCAACTGTTTGGTGATCTGTGTAATTGTCTTTAATTATTGTTTACACACTCCAAAGTTTCTGGCTGTTGTCAATCTTGCAGTAATTGATATAGTCCTTAACACATGCCTTATTCCCAGCATGATAAAAATATTCCTTGTTAAGGATAATTTCATTCCATTCAACCTCTGTTTGGTACAAATGTTTGTCTACTATGCTGTTGTATCTCTGGAGTCATACGCACTTGCTATACTTGCCTATGACAGGTTGATTGCAATATGTTTCCCTCTACGTCACAACTCCATCAACACACTGCGGAGCATGTCTTGTATTGTTGGTGTTACTTGGTCTTTTGTTCTGGCAGTTACAGTGTTTGCAATAGGTATAATGACTCGACTGTCTTTTTGCAGTTCAGTCCAAGTGTTCAGCTATTTCTGTGACTATGCACCTGTGTTTAGACTAGCCTGTAATGATTACTCAATGCAGTGGTCTGTGGCCTCTTTTTTCTCCATTTTAATCCTTGTAGGACCCTTTACTTTTATTCTTCTGTCATATATGAGCATCCTGGTGACTGTATTCAGGATGAAATCTTTAGACAGTTGTGTGAAAGCTTTGGCTACTTGTGTTGAGCATATCATCCTTGTTGCTGTATTTTACATTCCTCTCATTACCATTTTTACTATAGGGTTTTATCTGCGAGCAATTGACCCAGACCAGCGTGTGCTGAGCCTGTCGCTGGCCTCTTGCATCCCACCCTGCGTCAATCCTATTGTATATTCTTTGAAAACTAAAGAGATCAAAATCAGAGTCCTGGCGCTGGTGAGAAAAAATACACTTGGCAAACAACAAACAAACCAACACAATTAGGACCAACTTGTGCAGTGAGTAAAGAGCCTGAACTGTGTGCTTTCTGAATAACATCTGTCAACAGAAATGTCCCAAATGGCTCAGCAGTCTGGTTTGACCATCGGTTCATCAGTGTGAAGATGGCTATGAACTGCACTGCACTGCAGAGAATACAATTTAATTCTAATGTCATTTAATCAAAGTTGCATCATGTGTAATATATTAATGCATAAACATCTTTGAGCTATAGTCAATTTATAACTCAAGGCCATAAACTTCATAAAAGTATAATGGGACACTTTGATTCACACACCTTTATATAACATCTACTGTAGCTGTATTCCACAGGTGTTGACATTTTTTTTAATTGTCTGTGTCCTATATGTTTGTTTTAGGCATTGAATATCCTGATCACTCTGTGTCTGCAGGTGTGTTCATTTGAAGCTACACCATGTGATGCCATGTTTGACTGATGAAAAGTCAATATATGTTTATTATGTTCATAATGCCAACATTGTAACTTCAAACTTTAGTAATTTATCTTCCACCTCTCTATGATTTTGAAGGATTTTGAATAGTTTGGGATGAAACGACCCAACTGTAAATGCTTCACAAGCATCCTTCTCCTAATTTGAACATTTCCTGCATTAAATGTGTCAACTCTTTAAACTGTGTGCTTCTTGAATCCAATATGTGTTTATATTCAATAATAACATTTTATCTGAAAGGAGCCAAGGCTATTTGGGGGTGCTGATCTACCAAATAAAAGTGCATGACTGAACATCAGGAATGGAGTACATTTCAGATCCAGGTTCAGCTCAGGAGAGAAAACTTTAAGGTTTTAAATTTCTGGGGCGTCGGTGGCTTAGTGGTAGAGCAGGCGCCCCATGTACAAGGCTGTTGTCGCAGCGGCCTGGGTTTGAATCCAACCTGTGGCCCTTTGCTGCATGTCATCCCCTCTCTCTCTCCCCCTCACGCTTGACTATCCTATCTATAAAGGCAAAATGACAAAAAAAAAAAAACAGTTTTAAATTTCTATATCCAGCAGTCCTCACTCTGTTGAAATGTGAATATAAAGTTTATAGTAATTCAGCTTTTCAGACTAATAAAAGCAGATAACAGACCCAGTGGAGGGCTTATTTGATTTTTAGGAGGGTGGATTTAAACTCAAGAAAGTGAATGTGAGATTCACTCTATTTCAGTATCAGTAAACCCTGGTGAAAGTACTGACATGTGACATATGGCGCTGTGACACAACACTCTCAGAGAGCTGATTTAGGAAAGTTCTCAGAGCAACTTGAGCAAGGAAGGGACAGAAACTTTTACCCTAGTTGCTAGTGATGATGCTTTCTTTTAACAGATGTGATTGGTTGTCACAGACACACTCTTTTGTGAGCCTGCAAGGTGTGGACACCCAGTGGAAATGAAATGAACTGCTGACTGTGAAAGTGTTGTCATTGTTAGTGTGATCACTCTGCTGATGGAAGGTTGAGACAGACACAAGTCATCACTGCTGCACTGCTGAGTTTTTACAGTTTTCCAAATATCTTACGACTGTCATCATTTTATTTCTGGTGTTATAGTGTTAGGTGGGATATGTGTGTGTATCCCTAATGAGATCAACCACACATATTATCCCTGCACAATCTAATCTGTAGCATTTCATTTACTCACTGTCATCCAGTGTTTAGAGAATATCTTTCCAACCTCTTTGTGTTTCCACCATTTCCTTCTCTGCTTAAGAAACTCCTAAGCCTCTTAAAAGTCCTCCTCCCTGCTCCTAACAGTCTTTCATCTTAGGAGCTCTTTTAAGGTCTAAGATGCTCTGTGAATAACTTATCTTTATATGGACATAGTCTGAACTTTAAGGAAAAATTCTAAGAGATTGTCACAATTTTGAGAATTTTCTTAGGATTTCATCACTAGGAGCATCTCTTTGTACTAGGAAGCTTTGTGAATACAGCCCCAGGTTTAAATCTATTGCATCATACTAACTGCTTAAGTAATAGATCTTTTCAGAATACTAAAATTTAGAAACTCTGAAACATAATAGAGTGAATGAGCTATGAGTACCCCCTTTACAGGGCTGGATATTGGTACACGGTAACTTTAAGATATCGACCAAAAATAACCCAGTACCAAGTAGTACTGACATGTCTCCAGTCAAGCAACAACTGCATTTAATCCTTTTTGTGCCGGAGTCTGATCCTATACCAACAAACTGTCTGTTGCTGCTGTCTAAAGAGCTGTTTTCCTCCCGAAGCATGGTCAGTTCAACATCTCCCTGGTTAGCACAAGCTAACACATAGCAGCAGCTAACATCCAACACATGTTCCCGACAAACTCACCATCACACGAAATCAACTCACCTCATTCGTTAAACATGTTAAGTCATTAGTTAACATTAGCCATGTGATGCTAACAGATACATGCTAACAGATAGCCCTGTTACTGTGCATCTAAGGCCACACGGACACCAAAACATTAGAAAGTATGCCTTAAGGCCTACTACATGCCATTCTGTTTACATTATGGGTATCAATTGAAGTATTCTATTGGTATTGATATCACTTCAGGAGTAGCGCGCTGGTGCTGGTATCATAATTTTTTTAAACAATACCCAGCTGTATTTACAACTGTTCATGCCTTGCACACCCTGTTGAACACAACATAATAAGAAATATAATGAACTGAAAGCAGTACATTTAACACATGTGTTAAAGTTTCAGTCACACATGCAAAGGGAGCCTGACGAGGTCAACAGCAAGGCTAATGCTAACAAATTACGTTAAAAAATGTGTTAATTGTAAGTCAGTAATTGTAAGGCCTTTAAGAAGGACGAAAGCAAAGTATAAAGTCCAAGATGCCCTTGGAAAAATAAGTGTACTTTAAATTAAATGATAGCTCCACAAATATAGTACTGTATTTCCCTCCACTGTTAGTTTTTTTATCCTTAATAGGTGCAACTGAGATTAATTAGACTGAAATTTATACAGTGAAAGGTTTGTTTGTTAAAGACAAGCTCATTGACATCACACCATCACAGATTGGGCTCATTAGAAACATTTTGTTTTGGCTCACTCTGGCCTGTTTGATGATAAATGCATCTTCAGGCAACAATTATGCAATGCAAGAGTCATCATATTGCATTTTGTTTACTTAATGCACACAACAATGCAATGTTCTGACAGTTTTTAAAGCATGTCATGATTGTGTTGCAAAAGCACATTTATATGTATTTGAATAAGCAACACAATGACATAAAAATGACAATTACATGATATTCGTGCCTCCTCTGAGTTTCATGTGACCAAGCAGAAGTGTGATTGTGGATAACCCTGATTTATTCATCTACTCAGAGGTCATTCTCATCAGATGGGGGATGTATAGCTCTGGTGCACTGAGTTTAATAAGTTTAATTAAGATAAACTGCAGCCCTGCTCTCGGTGGATCAAATTAATATCAATGTGAGGATTATAAAGCTTTGGCTTTCTCAGGATCAGGAGGCTTTATCTCTGGAGATCAATGATCTTCCACTGTCTAAGGGTCACACATGCAGCCCTGGCACTGATCAGGAAAACTAGCAAGCATTCAATATTCAAAAGGTCACGAGCCTGGGCTCTTTTTCTGAAACCCTGATTTTACAGAAAAGTTTTAATTCAGCACAACCAGAGTCAGAAAATTAAAATTGGCCAAAAACAATGCCATGTCAAACGATACAAACTTTACGCTAATAGAGGACTAGAGAATGATAATATGATGAGTGTCTGCCCTCTAGTGGGTTTATGTGTAAAGTGCAAGCTGTGCCATGAATGACAGTGTCTCCTATGGCTGTTTCAAAAGCTGTATTATTACA